CAAGATGACCAGGGGACTGGAGCACATGGCATAAGAGGAGAGGCTGGGGAAGCTTAGTTCGTTGTTCCACTGGAAGAAGAGCAGTTTGTGGTGGGTTCCAGCTGCTACCCTGCTGGGGTTCATAGAAGACAGACAGGATTTTCTCAGACTCTCCTCCGAGATGCAAAACAAAAGGACAAGAGGCAAGGGAATTAAGCTACAGCAAAGGATATTTTTTCCAAGAAGGTTAAATGAAAATTTTTCAGGATGAGGGATGTGAAGCATTTGAACAGGCTTCGCAGAAGAGTTGTGGAGCTTCTGTTACCTTGGAGATATTCAAAACCAAACTGGACTCAGCCCTGAGGAACCCAGTATAAAGCTGTCCCTGCTATGAGCAGGGTGTTGGAGCAGCTGACCTCAAGACCAACCTAAAACTCTCCTCTCAGTCCAAATTATGCTGTGATTCTGCTGTTTGTAGAGGAAAATTTCAGTTACATAGATGTGAGAACCTCAAAGCAATTCAATGTTAGTCTTGGCAGACCCTGGAGAAAGTCTGCAGAACAGTCACGAAAATCTTACTCCTCACATCATTTCCCCAGACAGTAAACTTCTTCCTGAGAAGCTAAGCCCAGGTCACAGGGTTTGCAGGATCAGGATTATATCATACATAAACCACATTGGTGATGAAATTTTGGGAAAATCAATGATCACGACAACCAATTTTTGTTGTGACATTTGAAAGCTCCATCTTCCCATCAAAAGCAATGAACAGAGCAAAACTTCTCCCCCAGATTTCTCATCATCAAGCTGTTGAGAACCAGCATATGTTGAACATTTCTGTTGGTGGCTTTTTTTTTTTTAAGTGGTGTCTACAAAAATTTGTAAAAGGATGTTTTCCTTGCAAATTCCTGTGTCTCGCAGCATAAGGACTAGGTATACAAAACAGTAAGTCAATAGACTCTCAGTAACTCTGATGAACTATTTTTTCAGACTCTAAAATAGGCTGTATTCTGAAATATGTCCAGTCTGTGTTTGTGCAGCCAGCCATGAAGCACATCTAGCTAGAAACACGGCTACAACGTACAGCTTTCCAGCTCCAGAGAACACGTCTGGGAGTCCAGGGGGAAGCGGCTGAAGTCCATGTTGCACATGGCTGTCACTGTGACCCTAGAAGTCAAAAATGAGAAAGGTTGGGTTTTAAGCAATGAAGGGAGAACGTTATCACAGCTAAATCATTCTGCAGCTTTAAAGCCAGCAGTCATGCATTATGTTAGCATAAAATCCCCAGGAAAATGCCTACCAATTCCCCAAGTCCAAGCAAGATGGATTATACACAGAAACTCCAAAGAAAGCTCTAATTTCAATATCTAGCAAGGAACTTAATTACTATTTTGGTCATTACAGTAATACTAACATCAGTACAGATATTCCACTGCATTTTATATCCAACTATTTCCGTCCAACCCCCCTGCCAGAGAAGGATCACCAAGTGTTTGATTTCAAGGACAGTGATCTCAGGGACCTATTCAGTTCTAAGACCGTAATGGAGTTCCAGCTTTATTAGAGGAAGCAAGGGTGAACATTTATCCATCCTTTCCAGTTACGTGGTGCTTTTATATCTGAATGAACTCCTGATTTACATTTGAAGGTTCCCTTATGTCCAGTTTGATGGTTCTCTCGTTGTCTCCATTGCTCAGTTTCTTCCATGGTCACCCCAACAATGACCCAAGCCTGAGGAACATGCCCAACCTTATTGCAAGACACAAAATTCCGCTGGTATATACATTATTAAGGCAAAACCAGTTTCTTTCAGTCCTCTATCTTTTAATTTGGGGGGTGTATTTCTGGGGCAGGGAGTATAAAATGGGTGCAGCTGTCTTTCAACAAGTGAGATTTGCCTCTTCAGCTCATGTCTTAGCTAGAGAGCTGCAGCACTCACAGCTCCCATTTTCAAATGAGTCCAGTTGTGCACAACATTACGTAACAAGTTTTGCAGTGGGTCACTGATCTGTCTCTCGTGGGCAGATTTGTATTGGAGCTCCCGATTTAATGGGGACAAATCAGCTGTGAGTCATCGTTTCAGAGGCCGACTTACGTTGGCCGGGACCATCTTCTAGATTCATTGCAGATGTTGATAAAGAACTTTTCTTCTGTTCACGGGATTGCGATCCAAATCCCACTCTGACCTGCAAGCTCAGAGCACGCGCTGTTCATTTTGACTATAAAACTAGAGCAAAATTTTGCCATATGAGCAAAACTTAAAGAAGCTTTTTGTGGATATGCTCCAGAAGGTATGTAGCAATGACCTCCCATACCTGTGTAGCATTTAAGCATTGTCTAACTCATCCTCATTACAATGACAACAACTTTCTTTCCTTGGTGTCACCTAAACTGCAGCACAACTTGTGGTCATTAACAATTCATTAGTCAGGGACAGCACAGAAACTCGACTTGTCACTGAGATATTCCTCACCTAACTTGCAGTGTTCATGAGGAATGAAATGTCCCTCAGCCCAGTGCAACCCCATGCAGACATCTCAAGACATCAGATATCCTGAGGGACATTTCCAATGCCACTAGACACCCATGCTTGGGCTACCAGATCACGTTCTGAGTGTCCTAAACACCACCAGGCCCAAATAGCATGCAGATTCTTGTTTTCCTGGGATTCTGTGAATCAAATTATCCATTTAACTCTTGTGCAGCCAGCTGTGGTTACTCACATCCTCCTGTCTCGGGGGGTAACATTAGAAAGTCACATCGCCTCCTCAACTGCCCCCAGAAAATCTTTGAAAGTAAAAACTCCGCACGTGGGCAAATGAGCACACTTGAACACAGCCAGTGTTTGCCATTAAAAGTCCTTGTTCCTTCATTTTGGTTCTTGAACACTGCTAACACACAGCGTGCTGCAGGCTTCAGCACACGAAAACTGTGGGATGAGCAATGGAAACTGGTAGTCAGTTATAACACCTGTGGATAAGATCTGTACCATTCTCCTGCTCTTCTTCCCTCGGTTCTGACCCAAGCTTGCATCTAACCTTCATTTTTCTTTCCAGTACTATCTTGTTTTAATAAAATACACAGCATCTTTAGATGCTTAGTTAAAGTGTGAGTAATCAGACCTATGGTGCAATAAATGGGGTTATTAAATGGGATCAGAACAGGGAAAGCCTTCCTGAGTGTTTGGTCAAGATGGGATCTTCATCATTAAGACCACAGAAAGTGGCCATATAGTGCATACTCTCTTTCTTTCACACATGTTTCTTTGTAGTTTAATTTGTCAAGGATTTTTAAAAATAAAGTCGGTAGAATTATATTTGGCCTATGAAACCAGTGAACTTTCGACACTTCTGGTTTGGTGGAATATTGTCCTTCTGCGGACAATATTGACCACTATGCTTATTCTTCTGAGAGAAGCAGCCTCCTGAATCAAACTTTATAGAAAACCTGTCTTAGTTTTTGAGAATTATTTTACCATAGCTGAAGTGAGTAAGTTTCAGAAAGATCCTAGCACAGAAATCACTGGCTCCAAAACATTCAAAGGTCATTATACACAGAGAGAACATTTTCTGTCCTGGGGAAATATCCTTTTCCCTGGGCTCTCGAGCTTCTTTCCTCTGGCAGTAAATTTTTCTCCACATCTCTTTTTGCATCCTTCTGAAGGAAATCAAATCTGCTAGGGTGCTGATGTGAGCAGCCATAAAGTACTGGCTAGAAGTGTGAAATTACTGAGCCAAAGAAAACGTCTGCTTAAAAATATTGACAGAGAAAGGCCTGCCAGCCTGGGAACCAGACATGCCCTTGAGAAGTGCAGCCTCTTTGAAGTGCAGATGGGGTACCTAGAAACTGGAGACATAGAATTATAGAATGGTTTGGGTTGGAAGGGACCTTAAAAATCATCTAGTTCCAACCCCCCTGCCATGGGCAGGGACACCTTCTACTAGACCAGGTTGCTCAAAGCCTCATCCAGCCTGGCCTTGAACACTTCCAGGGATGGGGCATCCACAGCTTCTCTGGGCAACCTGTTCCAGTGCTTCACCACCCTCTCCATGAAGAATTTCTTCCTGATATCCAATCTAAATCTACCCACTTTCAATTTAAACCCGTTACCCCTTGTCCTGTCACTACATCTTGAGATTCCATTGATAAGCACAAAAAAAAGGGATTGTAATAGAAATTTGTTGTCTGTAAAGGTGGAAAATGGTCTGGAAAATAAAAATTGGTCTGAAAGAACAGAAAACATCATCAGTTATTGGCCATCACAGGAGAAAATTAACAGCACCCATTGACCGCTCAAAGTGATGGTGTCCTACACCCTATTATGTCTCTGTGGTATAAGAAGGACTTAATTTTCACCCAAAATGTAGCCTCTCTCTCCAACTTGCATGCTGCACATACTTCTCCATTCCTCAACAGGGTGGATTTGCTGCATGAACTTTCTACCAGCTCTTGGACTCTCACCGGGGATGCCCAGCTGACTCTAGACTGTACTGCAGAGCATCTCTGAAGTGAGACACTACCTGTTGTCTCAGTGGTCCCCCTCTGGGCCCACTTTTGGGGCTGTTTTGGTTTGTCTTCCTACCTGTGAGATGACTTGGTTCACTTGATGATGGTATCCCTTGATACCAGTATTATACACCCATATAAGCAACCTATTGTAAATACATCCGCTGCTATGTTGTTGATGAATTGCTTCACTAATGATAAGTTTGTAGGAACCTGTAACAGCGTATATATATATATATAGAGAGAGAGAGAGAGAGAGGGGATGAAGCCTCTGTGTCCTTGTGTATTACAGAACCCTGCAAACCCACGGTCACAACCTGCATACACCCGCAGGCTGCGTAAACCCAGGTCACGACAGACATGCCTCAGGATTCTCCCAGCCAACAAATCGGCTGGAAAACCCAGGGACTACAGGGTGTCCTTAATACTGCCATTGCAGCTTCAATAAACTTAAACCTTTACATCAACATGTGAACGCCAATAAAAAAAAAAAAAAAAAAAGGTTTTTTTAGACAAA